ATTACTATGCAGTTGGCTAAAGTGTTCTGACTGGTTGTTAGTGTGTTGCTATGTAGTTGCTAGGTTGTTTTGGGTAATTGCTAGAATGTTACTAAGCAGTTGCTAGGGTGTAATGGGGGGTTGCCTGGATGTTACCTTGCAATAGCTAAGGTGTTCTGATATTGTGTTGCTATATGGTTGCTAGGGTGTTCTTAGTGGTTGCTTGGGTGTTACTAAGCAGTTGCTAGGTTGTTGTGGGTGGTTTGTTACTGTGCAATTGCTAAGGCTGATTGATTGATTGTTGCTATGTGGTTGCTTGGATGTTATTATGGCTGCAGTCCGTAAGATTTGCCTCACTTTTAAATAGTTTTTAGTTGTAGGTGGTTTCTAGGGCATTACTGTGCAGTTGCTACGGTGTTCTTTGATTGTTGACATGTTGCTGTGTGGTTGCTAGGGTGTTCTTGGTGGTTGCTTTGATGTTACTATGCAGTTGATTAGGTGCTCTGATTGATTATTGTTGCAATGCGGTTGTTAGGGTGTTCTGGGTGGTTGCTTGGATGTTACTAAGCAGTTGCTAGGTTGTTGTTGGTTTCCAGGGTGTTACTATGCAGTTGCTAAGGTGTTCTGATTGATTATTGTTGCTATGTGGTGGCTAGTGTGTTCTAAGTGGTTGCTTGAATGATACTAAGCAGTTTCCAGTTGGTGGTGGTTTCCAGGGCGTTACTATTCAGTCGCTAAGGTGTTGACTGATTGTTATTGTGTTGCTGTGTGGGTGCTAAGGTGTTCTAGGTGGTTGCTTGGATGTTACTAAGTAGTTCCCAGTTGTTGGTGGTTACTATGCAGTTACTAAAGTTTTGATTGATTGTTGACATGTTGTTGTGTGGTTGCTAGGATGTTACTAAGCAGTTGCTAGTTTGTGGTTGCTGGTTTCCAGGGTGTTACTACGCAGTTGCTAAGGTGTTCTGATTGTTTGCTAACATGTTGCTAGGGTGAATGTTTGTTTTAAAACACATTTCTGAAGATTCAGCTAAGTGGAATATAAAACATTAAAACAGGTTATTCTTTTTCAAAAAGGTCTTAATGCGTTTTAATACATTTAAAGCATTAACCTGCTTGATTTCTCAAACATAGACTGCATAGATTTATTTTTTTTTGGCCCCATTGATGGATATTTGCTCTAATTTAAATCGTGAACTCATTTAATTTTCATCAGTTTCTCAAAAAACAAGACTTTTTTTGGATCCTAAGTAAAAGTATCTTGATTTAAGAATGTTTAGTCTTTTCTACTGGAAAGCAAGCCAAAAATGCTGAGGAGGAAAATCCCTTTTGCAGTGCATCAGTTTGCTTTTTCCATTAGGCCAGAAAAATTGTTTCCATTGGCGTTTGGAGGCGTAACAATACCTTCGCACCTGGTATTCCAGCCCTTCTCCGCCACGCCTCCACCCTGAGCTCCAGCGGCCCGCCAAGCCTGTGCAAACCCATAAATTCCTTTGCCTTGAGGGAATGTCTTTACACCTGTGAAAGGAAACCCTCCTCCACCGCTGCTGCCCACCTCAGGCTGGAAATTCAGTCCAAACTCTCCTGCCAGAACCTCATATCTGAGCTTGCGTCTGAAGAATGCATTTCGGAGGAGCTGATCAAATGTTCTGGTTGTGTAACAGTGCCATCTGGTTTGGTGTGTACGCTCAAGTCCTGGCGGCGACTCTTTCTGGGATTGGCACGCGGGGTTGGATGGGTTTAGATGAGTTGGCGGATGAAGGGCATGTCAGTGATTCTTCTCGTCTTACTCATGTGATTCGTGACATATGTAGCAAATAAGTCAGCGTTGAGTGTTTTATTCCACCTTTGCACTATTTTGACTCATGCAAAAGTAAACAGGAGACCGTTTGTCACGTTGAGAGCATATTAAATGAACAGTCATGGTGTTAAAATCTTCTGGATGAGTCGCAATTCAGTGCAACAGTCGGGTCCCTCGAGTAAAATCCTTTTCCCCTTTTTAAATAGTTTTTTAAATATTTTATATTATAAACTAAAATATGTAATGCATATAATACAATAATATATATATATATATATATATATATATAATATTTTGCATTAAACTTGCAATATATAGTTGCACAATATTTTATTAAATAACATTTAATACATATTTTAAAACACAGTATATATATTTTTACATAAATGTGTGTATATATATATATATATATATATATATATATATATATATATATATATATATATATATATATATATATATATATATATATATATATATATATATATATATATATATATATATATATATATATATATATATATATATATATATATATATATATATATATATATATATATATATATATATATATATATATATATATATATATATATATATATATATATATATATATATATATATATATATATATATATATATATATATATATATATATATATATATATATATATATATATATATATATATATATATATATATATATATATATATATATATATATATATATATATATATATATATATATATATATATATATATATATATATATATATATATATATATATATATATATATATATATATATATATATATATATATATATATATATATATATATATATATATATATATATATATATATATATATATATATATATATATATATATATATATATATATATATATATATATATATATATATATATATATATATATATATATATATATATATATATATATATATATATATATATATATATATATATATATATATATATATATATATATATATATATATATATATATATATATATATATATATATATATATATATATATATATATATATATATATATATATATATATATATATATATATATATATATATATATATATATATATATATATATATATATATATATATATATATATATATATATATATATATATATATATATATATATATATATATATATATATATATATATATATATATATATATATATATATATATATATATATATATATATATATATATATATATATATATATATATATATATATATATATATATATATATATATATATATATATATATATATATATATATATATATATATATATATATATATATATATATATATATATATATATATATATATATATATATATATATATATATATATATATATATATATATATATATATATATATATATATATATATATATATATATATATATATATATATATATATATATATATATATATATATATATATATATATATATATATATATATATATATATATATATATATATATATATATATATATATATATATATATATATATATATATATATATATATATATATATATATATATATATATATATATATATATATATATATATATATATATATATATATATATATATATATATATATATATATATATATATATATATATATATATATATATATATATATATATATATATATATATATATATATATATATATATATATATATATATATATATATATATATATATATATATATATATATATATATATATATATATATATATATATATATATATATATATATATATATATATATATATATATATATATATATATATATATATATATATATATATATATATATATATATATATATATATATATATATATATATATATATATATATATATATATATATATATATATATATATATATATATATATATATATATATATATATATATATATATATATATATATATATATATATATATATATATATATATATATATATATATATATATATATATATATATATATATATATATATATATATATATATATATATATATATATATATATATATATATATAAACTAATATTTTGCAATACACTTATATAGTTGCACAATATTTTATAAAATAAAATATTTAATACATACTATTTTATATTATCTTAACATAAAATGTTGTTGTGAAATATTATCTCTCCTACTCTCAATAAAATATTTTGCAATAAACTTAAAATGTTATTTTTGTACTCATAACCAACATAGTTTTTTATTTTTCCATTCATTTTATTTCAGTTACATCATATGCAATGCCCTTATTGTATGTTTTTCTTCAGATCAAAGCTTCTAATATTGTGATTAATCGTAGAGCCGGTTGTTTCGGTTCATGTCTTAAAACTCTTTAATCTACGATTTATTTTTTAACATTAGAAATTAATTTAAATAGAGTAAAAACTAGCTAACTGTGAACACAATCATTTGAATTCCGCTAGTCTGACAAGTTGCATTGAATATTGATCGATCGTTGGGTTTACGTTGGTTTGCAGCCATTAAAGAACCAATGATTACTGAGCGCTCATACCGAATGTGAACGTTTAATTGTCCCATTTGTAGTTCGCATCATTGAGCCAAGCTTGACTCAATCGACCACTGTTGCGTTTTTCACTAAGAGTATAAAACTCTTAGCAGCAGCTGTGGAAGCGGTCCGCGCTATTTCATGTTCTTTGGATCTCGTTTTTATTGTCTGTGCTCCAGATCCGCGGCTCAGCTCGAGGCTTTCGGCCAGCTGAATTATCGTCATCATAACCACGATGCCCAGCATTGAGTCGCTCCCTCCAAACGCACACCTTCTCCATTACATTAGCAACACTGGCCCACTGATGCACCAACATGTTGTTCCAGTAAATACCGAGGTCTGATGCCAGACAGGCCTGCGCTTCTGTCCACCAAACCTGAGAGCCGTTCATACAGAGTTTCTTTACTGGAAAAACACATTTGCTGTTGGCCTTCAGTCTGAGCTTCTAGCAACATAACAGCGTCTTTCTGTTAGAACATCTTGACCTGAGTTCAGTGCATCTCATCAAGCTGATGGTTAGATTATTGCTCTGATGTGAGTCAGTAAGTCCGAAGCTGGACGTATGTGGTCTGGAACCGGTTTTAACTCCGTTTTCTGGCTTTGTTCCTGCAGGGAAGGACGATTCTACTGGCATCTGAAGATCCATTTTCCTCAGAGCGACGCGGTTTATTCAGAGAGGTATAAAAACCCTTCTCGTGTCGCATTTAGTGGAGCCATATTATAGAATTATAAGAATGAAATAAATCTAGTTAAACCATTAAATCAGGAAAAAATTTTGGGGAAAAATCAAATGGGTTTCATAAAGCCATAAAATATAGTTTTTGATAATATAATGATATATAAGATAATAATTCATATATTTTGATTAATTAGTTTTATTTAAAAAAAATGTATTGATCAGTTAATTATAGGTAAAATTTTAAGCATTAATACTGAATCCAGAAAATCAAAATGGAAAACATAGAATTTGAGAAAAATAAAATGGAATTTTGGGAAAAAATAAAATTGATTTCTTTTGGCCCTAAAAATTTGTTTTTGTAAAACTTTAATTTAATAAATTAATTAACTGGACATGGTTTTTGATTGTTAAAATGTAATTAAACCAGAATGAAACCAGAATTTCATTTTGGGGAAAAATAAATAAAATGGATTTCATATGATTTTCAAAAAAAGTTTAATTTGAAAAAAAAAGATTTGGGGGGGGGGGGGATTCATAAGGCCATATGATTAATTAGTTTTATTTTTTTTTTAATTATTGATCAGTTAATTTATTGGTAAAATTTAATTTAACCATTAATATTGAATCCAGAAAATCAAAATGGAAAACACAGAATTTGAGAAAAAATAAGACAGGATTTTGGGGAAAAAATTCAATGGATTTCTTTTGGCCCAAAAAAATACATTTGTTAAACTTTTATTTAATAAATAAATTAATTAACTGGACATGGTTTTTGATTGTTAAAATTTAATTAAACCATTAAAATGGAATCCAGAAAAGTCAAAATTGAAAAAATTGAATTTTGGGGAGAAAAAAAAAAGTTAAATAAATAAAATGGATTTCATTTGGCCCTAAAAATTTATTTAAAAAAAGTTTAATAAATTTCAATTCAGTAGATAAGCTTTTTAATTGTTACAAATTCTAATAATTAATTTTTTATTAATTAAATTGATTAGACATGTTTTTTTAATTATTAAAATGTATTAAACTATTAAAACTGAATCCATAAAAATTTAAATTGGAAATAAAAAATTTAATTAGTGGACAAAATCTAACTGTTTCCAATTTGGGCCAAAAAAAAACAAAAAAGGTAAACTTTTTTTTTAATTCATACATTTCAATTAATTATTTTTAATTATTTTAATAATCAATCAATTTATTAGTAACATTTTAATATTTAATTTAACCATTAAGATGGAATCCAGAAACATTCAAATGAAAAAAAACAAAAAAATGATTAATGTGATGACAAACCAGTATTCATGAGTAGCATAAAAGCAAAAGTTAATTCAAAAATGTAAGTAATCACTCTCTCGACCAATTTTAAGGTCATAAGACAATGATTTTTACCACACAAATTTACAGGAAGGACTGCTTTGTCAAAATTGTTTAGAGTCAGCTCTTTATTTTAATTGTCTGTTTTCGTTGTTTTTATTATTCGATTGTCCCTTTCCTCAGGTGTCCTGATAACCGGCAGCTCGATCAGATTCTCAACGACTACATCCATCCTTCAGAATCAGATCCAGTCAAACGGCAGAAGTATGTATCGCTCCGTCAAACATCCACACGTTTCCTCAATGCCACATTTATCCCACTTTTGCGTTAACTTGCATTGATATCAAGCTTCCGCAGGTTTTCATGGTTGCGGTTGCCAGATTTCAAGAGTTTAAATCTCCCAACCAGAGCTTTTCTTTTAAACACATGCATTTTATGCCTGATCTTTTACTTGATTTTCCCAAACTGGAAAATCCATGAGCACACTTTGCTGCAAAAACACCAACGAACTTATATGCTGGAATTAAGCAATCTCCACAGAGAGGTTCTGCTCAAATGAGAAAAAAATGTCAGCTTTTCAGAGAAGCTTTTTACAGATTTTAATAGTTTTTATTATGTAAAGAGTGCTAATGCATACGATAAATATAATAAATCAGAAAACTACAAGACGTTAAATAAACCCTGTGTATTAGTTGCTGTTCCATTGATTTGTGCTGGTTTGTGTGCAGTAATTCTAATGAAATGTGAAAAGAAATGAAACCAATCGGGATTAATGGTGGCAATTGTAATTCTTTAGCAAAATAATCATGTTTAAGTGTTATCGTGCAACCCTACAAGTTTATATAGGCAACGTACACACTGTAAAGTAAATCCTCTAAATTACTGTTTTGAGTGTGTACGAACAGAGCTGCGATGATTGACACTGTTGTAACCATTTTATTTTATTTTTTGTCGTTTTGCCATCTCACGTTTGGTGTCCGATATTTTTGACCAAAGTATTATTACAGAGACCAAAGACTCGTTATGTTCGGCCATTTTAACTAAACCATTGTCAGCAGAGCCATCGTGTTTTGTTAATGTTTGGAAGGCTGCTTCGCAGAGCGCGCTCATGAAGGGTTGCCATGTCCACTTTTTATAAGCACATTTATTAATAGGGATACACCGATTTATCAACCAATAATCGCTATCGGCAGACAAAAGCAATTATTTGCACTATTGACCGGATTGTTTAATAACAGCCGATGATCAGAGCCGATTCTATCCTGTCAATCAAAAGGGGGCGGAAAAGCTTGTAAAACAGCAACTTGCGTGAAGAAAATGTTTCTTGTGTCAAATTTAAAGCTGTCCCAGGTAAAACGCATTAACGCAGCGCCGTTGATACTGGTTTTATTTGACCCGACGAGTCACCCGTATTTCAAGCCAAGGTTGCCAGATCCACGGTTTTCCCTTCAACAAAACATAATTTGTAGCACACCTCCAATACAATTATCGCAAAGAGTTTGTGCTCTGTTACTTCTGATAAGAAACAAAGTCTCAGCTTTCAAATCATGTTCATTTTATCACAAAATTCAAACAATAAATGCCGTTTTGATGCTCTTAAATGTGGCGCGACAGATCGCTGTAGCAGCTTCAGTTCAAGGGCGAGTCCCTTCCACTTTAATACAAGTTATAGCACAGAATAAACATGAATGAACATCAGAAGGTTTTGAACCAAAGGTGTTTCAACCGAAAGAAAGACGTCAAATAAAACCGCTTGTGAACAATGTCACGTAACATTGCATTCACCTCAGGAAAATTATCCAGTGTTTGTTAGTTACCTATAAAAAACACTAGAGGGAGCTTATGTAATGTTAATTTGGCCTGTATATGTATATTTGAATAAATCTGTCATGAAGACGAGTTTTTATGAAAACTACCTTTGCATTTGTCATTTTTATTTCTGTGTGATTTATTATATCTGAAAATAAATAGCGTTGAGTATAATAGTTTCGTTGTTCATTTTAATCTCCCTGTGTAGTTTACAGCATTAGTTGGCAGTGATTTTTTTTTTTCCCCTTGAAGCTAAACTATCGATATCGGCAGATATCATTCTGAATTATCGGCTATCGGATCAGCTGAGAAATTTCATATCGGTGCGTCCCAACTTATTAAACATCTTTGGGATTGTTTTTTGGGTTTGTAAAGTGATCCGCTTTATGGAGCTAATAAGGTCGGCAGGTGTAGGTTGCGATATTTTGGATATAAGTTTATTATGGGCTTTGTTCTTATTTGCTGTTTTTTTTTTTGTTAGTTACCTATAAAAAACACTAGAGGGAGCTTATGTAATGTTAATTTGGCCTGTATATGTATATTTGAATAAATCTGTCATGAAGACGAGTTTTTATGAAAACTACCTTTGCATTTGTCATTTTTATTTCTGTGTGATTTATTATATCTGAAAATAAATAGCGTTGAGTATAATAGTTTTGTTGTTCATTTTAATCTCCCTGTGTAGTTTACAGCATTAGTTGGCAGTGATTTTTTTTTTTCCCCTTGAAGCTAAACTATCGATATCGGCAGATATCATTCTGAATTATCGGCTATCGGATCAGCTGAGAAATTTCATATCGGTGCGTCCCAACTTATTAAACATCTTTGGGCTTGTTTTTTGGGTTTGTAAAGTGATCCGCTTTATGGAGCTAATAAGGTCGGCAGGTGTAGGTTGCGATATTTTGGATATAAGTTTATTATGGGCTTTGTTCTTATTTGCTGTTTTTTTTTTTAAGTAAGATCTGGCAACCCTAATGAGTCAAAACGTACCTCGTTCACTGTGATTTCACAACTCTGATACGTATTTAACCCTCTGGTGTTGTTCATTTGGGAGTCTCACACACTTGTGTAGTTCTGAAATGAAACAATTTTTTATTTTCAGTGAAATCAATGTAATATATTTTTGTTCGATAATATTTTTTCTTTTGTATTTTGAGAGAATTTCATGGTACTGTTTAATATTTATGCAATAATTATGATCAATTTTTCCCATTGAAAATAACACAAAAATGTATTTTCTAATATTTTTCTATTACTTTTCAATTATGGCAGTATTTCACGTTAAAATAGAGACAATGCCTTTAAAATCCATTTTTTTTTAAGGCAGATTAGTGTCATCTGGTGGGAGTAAAGAAAGAAAAACCTCTGAAATGCTGTGCTTTAGCCACTAGATTCCTATAGAGCTCTAGAGAACAGCCTTATAAAATCTCTAGTTGTTTTTAGACACAAATACTTTTTTTTTAAGTTGTGGATTTGGATTTATATTTAGACATTCTCAAAGACAACTTTTTGTAAAGGTTTAGATTTTTTTTTTTTTAAATGTTGGTTTGAAATGTCAGTTTTTGTATTAATTTTACTATTAATTTACTTAATACTTAATTTTACAGTCAAACCTGAACACAAAGATTGCATTTTATTACACACAACATCGAAGTTCAACAAAAATGTAACAAATATGAACAGGAATGCTTTTATCAGAGGTTAATCAATCTGAACTCAACCTCTTATTTGAGTCTTCTGGCTCAATTTTGGCATATTGTAACAGCCACACCAGTTCATTTGTGTGTGTGTGTGTGTGTGTGTGTGTGTGTGTGTGTGTATAATAGTGTGTGTGTGTGTGTATAATATTGTGCGTGTGCGTGTGTGTGTGTGTGTGTGCGTGTACCTGTTTTTCTATTCTGGTGGGGACTTAAACCTGAGTACACACAGACTCATGAGGATTCATGTCACGGTGGGGACCTAAAGGGTTGGTGTAGGGCAACAGAATATACGGTCTGTATAGTAGAAAAACCATTACGCCTATGGAGAGTCCCCACAAGGATAGCAAACCTGTGTGTGTGTGTGTCTGTTTTATACTCTTGATGTTTTAGATTGTCACCCCTTCCTTGGTGTCTGTGTTTTTACTCCGTTGTGGCTAAATTATTGATTTTATTTCACAAAAACATGTTTTGTGTTACAGTCACACTAGTTCATGTATGTGTTGCACTTGTGATATTTTAGAGTGTCACCCCTTCATTGCTGTGCCCTTCTTTTCTGCATCATGAATGATTTGTAGATTCTCTGTATTTTCATATTTTTGCGTATTTCCCATTCATTTCCAATGGCGCTCATTTTTGACCGCGAACAACACAAGTGTGACTTTTTTTTTTTTTTTACGTCCATTTAGCTTTTTCGAATCAAAGCCACAATTTTTTTTTGTGGTCACATAGTGACTGCCATAAAAGTCTGCGAATTTCGTACCATTCCAATGAAGTGGCAATTTTTACAATTTCAATTTTTATTAGATTTTTTTTCGGTCTAAAATGACCGAACAGCACCAGCGGGTTAAATACGTCATTAACAACTAGTCGTTCAGTTTGGTTCTGTACACGCCACATAGAATTTTACAGGAGTTAATTCCATTTTAGAATGCGGCTATCAATCTGTAAATTACTAAACTGTGGGCGTATAGAACAGGGTTGAACACTAATAGGTGAATTCACAACCATGAATTATGCGTGCTCTTATTCACCCGTTGAACCCGCCATCAAAACAGGCTCAGATGTTTTCACATTTCTTGATCGTCTGCTTCTCGTTTCGGATGTTTAGTGCAGAACTCGATGACTTTTTATGGCTGAAATGTGGCCTAAGTGCAGCATTGTCAGTCAGTGAGATTGTGTCTGGCCCTTTTTGTCAGTTTATTGACGTCAGACTCGCAGGGGAAAAACTGGGACAGATTCATTTTTTAACTTTTCCACAAAATGCAGTAATGACTTGACTATTAACTTGATGAAGTGGAGGATTTTCTGTTTATTGTTTCTTCGTGGAGCTGTTTTAGGGCCATTTGGAGCAGCACATCGTTATAATGACTTGCAGATCAACAGAATCGAAGCTGCGGTTTGGAGTTAGAAATAAACTCTTTACAGTGTGATTATAGGCCACAAAATCAACACTAGAATAGGTGTCTTTGCTCTTAAATCCAGGCATCTTTTGAAGGGAGCGTTTGATAGAAATAGACACTGACGTTCAGCAGCTGAAGAGCGTTACCTCAGAGATCAGTGCTATTATTCAATAACAGAAACTCATTAAGCATGAGTCGATTAAAGTGTTGGAAATATTAACTTTAAAGGGATAGTTCACCCAGAAATGAGCATTTGCTGAAAGTTTACTCACTCTCAGACTATTCAAGATTAGGATGAGTTTGTTTCTTCATCAGGGTTGTAGAAATGTAGCATTGCATCAGTGTCTCACTGCAAGTGAATGGGTGCCGTCAGAACGAGAGTCTGATAAAAACATCACAATAATCCACAGCACTCCAGTCCATCAGTTAACATCTGGAGAAGACAAAAGCTGAAACACATCCAGCATTAAGAAGTTTTTAATTCAAATACATTGAGTCTATAATCCATAATAACGCTTCCTCCAGTGAGTCAGTGTTCTGGTGTGAATCAGGAGAGAAATCTGCACAGATCAAGCAGCGTTTAAACAGCTCTAAACACATATATGGCTGGATTTTGATGTGAGAGACAACAGCAGATGCACTTTTTCACTGGAGGAAGAGTTATTATGGATTGTGGACTTAAAAACATCTTAATGCTGGATTTGTGCAGCACAGAATTTCTGAAAAAATAAAACATTTCAAAAGGCCCTATTATTGTTCAAATTTGTATAAACTATTAAATTGTTCAAGTTTTATAAATTCAGTTGATTGTATGTGCTTTTTGATTGATAGAATTTAATTAGACCATTAAAATGGAATCCAGAAAAATGGAAAACATGGAGTTTGGGGGAACAAAAAATGTACAGTAATTATTGTTAAACCTTTAAAAAAAAAAAAAAAAAAAAAAAAAAAAATATTTTTTGTATAGACATGCTTTTTGATTACTGAAGTTGAATCCAAAAAATGAAAACAGAAAAATCAAACTTCAGGAAAAAATAAAACTGAATTGTACAAGTTCCATGATTTCAGTTAGTAAGAAATGCTTTTGGAGCACTAAAGTGAATCCGGGAATTTATTAATTTATTTTCGACCGAAGAGAGAAACTGATCTACATCTGGGATGACCTGAGGGCGAGTAAACGTTCAGCAAACGAACGTATCTCTGCTGGTCTTACAGCCGTCTTAATTGTAGCTAACTGTGTTTAGAAAACATCCAACGAACCAAACCAGCTGAAGTTCTCCTCCTAAACGGTCTCAGATGTTCAGCAGACCAGCATCCCGTCCACAGCTTTTCTCCATCGTCTCGGTTTGTTTATATTTCAGGAGTCGTCTGTCAGAACATGTTCCACGCTTCCGTCTAGATGCTTTCGTGTGCTTTGGAGAAAATCTGAACCTTCGGCTCGGTTTGGATTCTGACTGATTCGGATGAAAACGCTGAAATCACACACTAGAGTCCAGGCATAGAAATGGACTTTACTGTAACATTACATTTGGATGAATAAATCAGAAGTGGGCCAGAAACTTAATCAAAACTGTGATTTGGACTATTGTCTGTAAATACTAAATACTTCACCAGCATTTGATAAAACTGAAATTCAGATACAGTTATTCAGAGGTCTTCACTATAATCCCCCAAATTAAGTTTATTTAACTTAAAGAAATTCTGACGCAAAATGCAGGAATATCATACAGTAGAATGTACGATAAAAAATTATATAATATAAAATAATAATAATAATACAAAAATTTAACTATTTATTTTAATTCACTTAATAGTTTATTTTTATTGTATTTATTAATTTAATTAATTTACATGTGTATGTATGTACATATATATAGATATATATATATATAAATGAATTGAAGTTTTTATTAAATATTATGCATATTTAATTAATTATTTAATAATTATTTATTCGTTTGGTTCCCAATTTATTCATTAAATAATTGTATTTATTTATGTATTTTAGTTAAATATAGTTAGTTAATAATCATGTATTATTATTATGTCGGTTCCTAAATTTATGCATTAATTTTATTTATTTATTTAATTTTGTTGTTGTTTTTACTTTATCATGTATTATTGTTAATTAATTCATTCATGTTTTTATTATATATTTATACTTATTTAATTATTTATTAGTTTGGTTCCCAATTTATTCATTAAATAATTGTATTTATTTATTTATTTTAATTATGTATTTTAGTTAAATATAGTTAGTTAATAATCATGTATTATTTATTACATCGATTCCTAAATTTATGCATTAATTAATTTTATTTATTTATTTAATTTTGTTGTTGTTGTTGTTTTTACTTTATCATGTATTGTTAATTAATTAATGTTTTTATTATATATTTATACTTATTTGTTTATTAGTTTGGTTCCCAATTTATTCATTAAAATCCCCATGAAATCAAAATGAAAGTTTTTTGGGGTGTTAGTATCAATATGTTAGTCTTAAGGTTATCTATAAGGCAGTGTGCTCCAAAACAGTGACAAACTTCGCATTTAGAAGATATAAGCATTCAAAGCTTGCAGTTCGTCACTTCCGCCAAAACGGCTCAACGATTTTTTTTTGACGTCACATCGTACTTCAGCTTCTCGTCAAATCTTCTGACCAATCAAATGCTCTCTAGAAGCCGAAGCCCCGCCCCCTGCACTATAAATAGACGCTGAAGCGGCTGAGATCGGTGGCTTGTTCACAGTGTAGTATTTACTGTACAGTGAGTGGCACGTAGTGTACAATGTTGGCGATAGGGAATGATTCAGATAGTGTAAATATGCTTTCGATTGGGGCAAATGAGGTCTGGTTTCACGCGAACCGCGGCAGCGTACACAGTCTGATCCGGACTTTGGCTCTGGTCCAGAGACACGATCACACGGAGCGGATCATATGCGCAGGTCGGCATATATTAAACACTTTTAAAACTACACAGCCTCAGCATGATTATGATCACTATTTTGTTTTACTAAGAGTTTCATATTGAATCTAGGGGGTCATCTATTAGACTTTGGCTGTCAAATGCGGCGGCTCTGACCCATGCAGATATAAACAAAACACTATTGGCTCTTTAAAAAGGGGGCGGGGCTGCTCGATATGTCCCGCCCTCTCTTCCTGTTTCAGTTGAAATTACGTCATCACATAAAATAATGCTGCGTGTTTCAAGGCACTTCAGGGGACCTTTAAATTATTGTATTTATTTATTTATTTATTTATTTTAATTATGTATTTTAGTTAAATATAGTTAGTTAATAATCATGTATTGTTTATTACGTCGGTTCCTACATTTATGCATTCATTTTATTTATTTATTGTATTTGTTTATTAATTTATTTTATTAGCATATTTATTTTTAATGTGTTTTTGTTTATTCATTAATTTATCAGTTTGGTTAATAAGCATGCATTATTTATTAATTAATTGTATTTTATTGTTTTATTTTATATATTTTATTTATTAATGTATTTTATGTTTTACATAATTTTATTAATTATTAAATTTGTATGTATTTTTTATTAATTAATCAATTTAGGAAGTTATTATTTATTATTTATTAATTTGGTTCCCAAATTGTCAAAATATCTATAAAAAATAAAAAATTTTAATACTTATTCTTGTATAAATCATAAATTCATTGATCAAAAGCTGTGATAAAATTATTTAAATGATATAATTGGCAACATTGACTGTTTTGGGCAACAACAAAAAATATCACTCTTTTAATGCATTCCAGCAATTATATCAAACCAAATACTGCCAAAAAACTGAAAAAAAATATTATGATATAATCTTATCGCTTCATATAGAACAAGCTGACCAGCTCTCGAAGTAAAAACATGTTGTCGTGTTATTGTTCTTGTGTGTTTTCAGCTTCCTGTCCTTGTCAATGCTGTGAGTGTGTGTGTGAGAGAGTGTGTGTGTGAGAGAGTGTGTGTGTGAGAGAGTGTGTGTGTGAGAGAGTGTGTGTGTGAGAGAGTGTGTGTGTGAGAGAGTGTGTGTGGTAAATATGCTTTCGATTGGGGCAAATGAGGTCTGGTTTCACGCGAACCGCGGCAGCGTACACAGTCTGATCCGGACTTTGGCTCTGGTCCAGAGACACGATCACACGGAGCGGATCATATGCGCAGGTCGGCATATATTAAACACTTTTAAAACTACACAGCCTCAGCATGATTATGATCACTATTTTGTTTTACTAAGAGTTTCATATTGAATCTAGGGGGTCATCTATTAGACTTTGGCTGTCAAATGCGGCGGCTCTGACCCATGCAGATATAAACAAAACACTATTGGCTCTTTAAAAAGGGGGCGGGGCTGCTCGATATGTCCCGCCCTCTCTTCCTGTTTCAGTTGAAATTACGTCATCACATAAAATAATGCTGCGTGTTTCAAGGCACTTCAGGGGACCTTTAAATTATTGTATTTATTTATTTATTTATTTATTTTAATTATGTATTTTAGTTAAATATAGTTAGTTAATAATCATGTATTGTTTATTACGTCGGTTCCTACATTTATGCATTCATTTTATTTATTTATTGTATTTGTTTATTAATTTATTTTATTAGCATATTTATTTTTAATGTGTTTTTGTTTATTCATTAATTTATCAGTTTGGTTAATAAGCATGCATTATTTATTAATTAATTGTATTTTATTGTTTTATTTTATATATTTTATTTATTAATGTATTTTATGTTTTACATAATTTTATTAATTATTAAATTTGTATGTATTTTTTATTAATTAATCAATTTAGGAAGTTATTATTTATTATTTATTAATTTGGTTCCCAAATTGTCAAAATATCTATAAAAAATAAAAAATTTTAATACTTATTCTTGTATAAATCATAAATTCATTGATCAAAAGCTGTGATAAAATTATTTAAATGATATAATTGGCAACATTGACTGTTTTGGGCAACAACAAAAAATATCACTCTTTTAATGCATTCCAGCAATTATATCAAACCAAATAC